TAGGCTATTTTTTTCCTGTGTAGTATCTGAAGGCTTATTTGAAGGTTAATAAGGTTAAAATACATTTTGGTATAAGTTGAAATGATATTTTGTTACCATATGTAGTGTTAGAAGTTCATGAGGTTCAATGACATCATTCTTACTATGGAATGTTTTAGGGGCCTCTCAATGGCCTCTGACCTCTACTTTGAAAACCCCCATCTCCCCTTATTACCTTACATATTTGGATTGGATCCAGATGTTTCTTTCCATTTTTGGAGTAAACAACAGGCCTATATAAACCTATGTTCGATGCAAAATAGACAGAGTTGTTCATTTGGCAGGATGCTCTCCAAGCTCCCGGGGCTTGAATTGATGCTGTACCTTTTTGTAATAAACCTTTATTTACAATCAAGACAGTGTCAGCGGACTTCTCTTCAATACATTTTCACATCATCGCTACTTAATATACAACAAGAATTTGGCGTCACAAACTCCGGACGTGCTGTGACCTGCTGCCTCGCTGACGACTTCAACGCACTGACTCCCGCATCAAAAGCCGGTAAATAGGGTGAGCATTTACTCACAAATGTGGGCGCTGGTTCGTTCGTTGAGGTTGTGTGTGTGTGTGCTGTCTGGTCACACCGTGGAGGACCTGGTGTGTGTGTGTGTGCCATGCTGTGTTGATGTGTGGGGTGAGATTCCGTTCTAAATTGTGTTGCGTTGTAGACAACGCCACAGGGGGAGTGTGAGTGTAATTAGGGAAGATAGAAAAATAGGAAAATAAGGTAAAGGATAAGGAATAGATGTAGAATAGCCTAATTAGTAACGAGAAGGTGAGCTAAAGAACTATGCAAGATTAATGGAGACTGGGCCCTCAACTCCTTAACGGTAAGACATGTGTAAATTAGACACTGCGTGAAAGTAGGCTTTAAGGAATAGTCGAATTGGATTAAAGGAAAAAGAGAGTGACAACCCTGGGCCCAGGGAAATTTGGCTTAAATAAAATAAGGAAATAAGGAAAAGGATTAGGACGCCGCTGATTTGGACAAAAGCCCTCAAGGAGGCGATTTTAGATGGGCCGCAAATCCTGGAAAGTCACTAGGTGAATTTCAGGTCAGTTCAAAGAACTGGAGGTGTAGAATAAAAATTCAATTGTAAGTTCCCACTCAATACATTTGTTGACGAACGGTGTCTGAAGCAGCCTCTCATTGAATATTTACACCTCAAGGTAGCAAAAATTTAGAAAGGAAAATATAAAGGAAAAAAGGATAAAGGAGCGGCAGAAGCATGCTTTAGGAATAGTATGAATGAATTGATTTAGAGGATTAAGAGTTGAATGCTGTTTGTGTTTTTGGGATGGTGTTGAATTTGCTGTGTGTTTTGTGACTTGGCTATGTATGTTTGCTGCTGGATAACTAGTTTTTGTGTGTGTATGAGAGACAGAGCTTGTGTGTGTATGTGGAGAGTGCTGTCTCTGCTGTGTTCCAGCTGTGTGTGAAAGGCTGTGCAGAGGTTGATATATGTGACTCATGTCATGATAAGATGTTATAGGAGATATTTAGATATATATATATATATATATATATATATGCTTTGGTAGAGGACAGGAGGTTTAGTCATCGCTACTTAATATACCACACCTGCTAGTTAATGATTATTCTATATCTGGTACATAGTAGCATGCCTATTGAACCCTGCTCCTCCCCCTCTCTTTTGCAGTGCTTGTATACTATTCCTGTGCAGGAATATGACCTGGGCCCATACTTGCTGTGTGGTAGTTGGATTAAACACATAACATTAGGAGTATGCAACATATTAGCATAAAACTGAAATAGTATTTAAATCAAATCAACAATCTAGGAAATGTATCATCATTATACAAAACAATGAACAACACAATGAAAGTTTGCAGTCCCTTCATGCTACATACATACACATAGATTTAATATGTATTAGAATCAACGACATGGTTATATATATATATATATATATATATATATAAATACAGATACACGTATACAAGTAGGAAATAATAATACCGTTCCATTTTAAATTTTATCTAGGGAAATGTAAACAACAGTAACAAAATAGTGATAGTGATAATATTTGTTAATCTTCACATAAAAAGAAACAGTGTCCACCCTCTTTGACTGCGTTTGAGCATCATCAATGTAAACACAGAGTCTGCCTCCTCTCATCCTGCACACGGTCTGTGTAAAGATGTGTGTGAGTCCTATTTTATCCAGAGCAGAACATTAGCCAGGAGCTGGGCCAGCATGGCTCCTATCATAGCTCTCTCCTCTTGGGGTGACCCACTGCTCTTTAATTCAAACCCCACACTTCCTTTTGACTGTCGGCCATTCATCATTCAACAAGGTTTCAAGTCTCTATAAGGAGCCTTTTCAACTCAGGTGCCTCAAGGAGCAGGACCAACTATAAGTCCCTACTGTGGTTTCATGGTGCATCTTCTCAATCAAATAGTAATTCACACTAAAAAGTTGACACAGTAAAGATAGAGCTTTGGAGTTCTTGGACTAGGGGGGATTTCTAAGGTAACAAAAAGAGAGTTAATATAACCATTACAGTGGCTACCCAGGCGGCCTATGTGAATGGGGTGTTATGAAACTTGTGAGTTTTCATTGAATGCTGTTTCCATGGCAACATGACAAATGAAGCTCCTTTACTGGATTGGGAATTTTGTGGGGATAAATTGTAATAACGGATTTTAGGGTCTTTCCCTATGATGTTTGGCGTACCAAAGCTAATGGAATAAACATGTTCCTTAACTAAATACATACTGTAGCACACATCACCCAACTGATTACACCACATAGAATGTCGCCATGACAACAAGGAGCGCCATTGGACTGGACCAACCAGAGAAAAGGCAAACAGCAGCCAAATAAAGGAAACAAAACAGGATTTTGTATGTCAAACATCTGGTAATTTCTTAGTGAGGCTACAGCCCAATCTTGCCCTGCCATGTGTTCAGATTGTCCAGACAATCTGGAAGTGTGTAATGTTATCTGCACTTGTATGATTCATTAGGCATTTATGAAAGCCTGGGGTTTTATCCTATACACTGGCCCCTTAAAGGGGAACTTGGCAACTTTTTCAACTTAATAGTTGAACAGAAATCATTTGGATGGTTAAATGGCCTGTTCCGGTGAAAATGGTGACTCCCCCCCCTATCGTCCCCAGGCGGAAAACCAACCAAATAGGAAGTATCGTGAGAAGCGAGAACGAGCGAGAAACACAAACTGCTGTATGGCAATTCCACATAAACGCACACGCCCCCCTAAATACCGGTTAGTGTATATTGTATCACCCACCTCGGTAGACATTGCTCCACACGAAAAAGTTGCCCGGAGAAAAAAAGGCACATCAGCAGCGGTAGAAAGGGGGAGGAGGGTGGCGCAAGTGAGTTTTTTTACAACAGTGTTGTAACGACAACGACAAAAGTTAAAACCAGCGAAGAAATGGCTAGAGTTGCCAAGTTCCCCTTTAAAGGACTAGTGTATAGGATAAAATGTGGCATCTAGCGGTGAAGTGGTAGACTGCCACTAACTGAACACCCCTGAGATCTGTATTTGACGGCCCAGGACCTGGGACCTGAAAACAGGCTTTGAAGTATGTAGGAGAAAAAAGGGGAAAGGCTCTAGCTGCACCCAGTATTTGGTTTGTCTGTTCTGGGCTACTGTAGAAACATGGTGGTTCGACATGGCAGACTCCATGGATGGCCACCTTCAGTGTCTGTACATAAAAACATTGCAGGAGAGCGGGTCCTCTTCTAATCAGAAGGCTGGTGGTTCGATTCCCCAGCTCCTCCTGCTGAATGTCGAAGTGTCCTTGAGAAAGATACTGGACCTCAAATAGCTCCCAATGATGTGCATCAGTGTGTTAATTTAAATGAATGACTGATGCTTAATTTCTGTTTGATGGCCTCTGTCTTTACTGTGTGAATGGGTGAATGTGGCATAGACTAGAGAGGCTCTACATAAGTGCAGTCTATTTGCCAGAACTAAAATGCAACAATTATTATTGATTCCTATGACCTACCATATTTTATTCAATTTCTGCCAAAAGATTCTCCTACATGTGACACACTAATCCTAAAACCGATGGCATATCTAGCCCCCAAAATAATCTTGTTCTGTGTTGAGAACTCAGGGGCTGACAGGTCAAGATAAGCCAACCAATTTTTGCATCTGCCAATTTCTCTTTGGTGATGCTGCTGCAAACAAAAATCAGACACTTCCTCTACCTTTGTTAGTCTGGCTGGATAATGCATAGGTCTACAGGAAATCAAATGCAATAACATGGATACCACATGTGAAAAGTTACATGCAAGGAAACAGTAATATATAAAATACACTGTAAAAACAGCTAAATATGAAAGCAAATATAACTCGTACACTAGTGGTCAAAACCAACAGAAAATGTATTTTGTTTGATTCCATATTGTTTGGTCTCTGATTTGCTGCTTGAAGCTACATTTTGTTTTCTGATCTGTGACTGGTTGGCTCTCTGTGCCTTCTCTCCTCAAACTGGCTAGGTAACAGATGACATGTTTGAGGGGAGGGAACTGCACAGACTTTATAATATATAAGGATGAAATGACCAACTATTCACCAACAAGACATCAACAGCAACAAGACATCAACAGCAACAAGAACTCAAAGATCAACTGCTTTTACAAGACAAAGATGGCCAGCAACAATGGTAAGTATATTTCATATATTTTACTATTACTCAGTTTGACAAACCTGCAGAGCAATTTTCATGTGTCATTAACATCACTGATGTTTTAAACAAAGTCCTTTAAATCGTGACATTTCACTTTTATTTATTTTACTGACCACCCACTTCTTCTACAACTACTTTATTTCTTAGTAAAAAAAAAGGCTTTACAGACCCTATTTCTTGTATTCAATAATATTCACATTCAGTTCACATTCATTCACATGTTAATATTTTTGTTTCTTATATTTATAAAATAGATTCATGTTTGCAAAATTACATGATATCTGTTGTTATATTTTATGAATCATTTTAAGCATTTGTATAAATCCTTTTTTTTTTCTTGACGAGTTAATATATTTAACAACTTCACCTTTTACAATCCGACTAAGAAATTCCTGTCACATAGTAAATTAAAACAATGTTAACTATTTGATATTTGGACTGTGATGAAGCTTTTTAGACACATCAAAATCAAAAAATAACATTTGCAGTACTTTTATTCAGAACTGATTTTACTGATGACTTCCTTCATTATTTTGATGACTGACAATTTTGCACAACAAACAGTTAACTAATGATGTAAAGACGTTTATTTCTAAAGACAATGGATTTAGCTCTACAGAGGTAAAGACTGTCTTCATCTTTTTATGTTAATGATCAAGGGACAGAATTGTAACTACAATTATGAGACATAAGAAAGCAGTTTCATCAGCATATAGAAAAATATGACATGAACAAGGTGCTTTTACTTTACTTATCTAAAATAACAAGAAATAAAGTCTATATCCACATTAGTGCCCCTGTAAGGCTGTAATGTTTATTTTACATCAGGAAACTTAACTGCCTGCTTGGATCATTTCTAACAAGCACTTAGCAAACCACATGACACATTTCTTAGCACTATTTGTAATGTCACTGGGAAATTCTAAAATATACCTTTGAAATTGTATTAGTATTCGATCAATTAATCAAACATTATTTGTATACTACGTGTCATACAAGTTAAAAAAGATGACTGACAATGCTGACAATAGTACTGACAGTGCTGACAGAGTGTGGATTGCAATAGTCAAATAAAAACTAATTATTCATAGTTATTGTAATTTGTTATAGTTTTATGTCAAAATTCTTTTTACTGGTTAAAGACAGCTGTTTGAATTGAGGCTGTGCCAATTCTGGTTTAAATATCATGATGAGCCTGACAAAAGAGAAATTATTTGTTTACGCCATTCCTATCACTGACTGGCATTGCATTGTACACTTCAATTTCAAACTTAGATAAGTGTGTGTGTGTGTGTGTGTGTGTTTGTGTGCTCATTGCTGTTACAACTTTTTTATAATATCAGTTATGTCTGTTTAAAATTTTCTAACAGATTCAAAGCCGAAGATTGTGCTCTTGGGAAAGACTGGAGTTGGGAAGAGTGCGTCAGGAAACACCATCCTTGGGAGGGATGAGTTCAAGTCTAAACGGTCTGCTGAATCTGTGACAGGAAAGTGTGAGATTAAGACCAGAGAGATTGATGGAAAGACACTGGTTGTTGTTGATACTCCAGGTCTGTTTCATACACACAAAAATCAGAAAGATCTGCAGAAAGAGATGCAACAATGCATTTTATCATTAACCCCCGGTCCTCATGTGTTCATATTGGTGCTACAGACACATGACTTCCTTCCAGAAGATGAAGAAGTGTTAAAAAAATTTGAGCAACTCTTCCAAAATGCAGCAAAGCATACTATTGTCCTGTTCACCGATTGTGGTAGTGATGGTAAGGTTCAGGACTTCATTAAAGACAACGATGTTCTTGAAAAGTTCATCAAGGGAGTCCTGTAAGGCATATCATGCCTTCAACAATAAAAGCGAGGAGAAGGAGTCCCAAGCTGCCGGCCTACTGGAGAAGATCGACAACATGGTCAAGGAAAATGGAGGCTGCTACAGCAATGAAATGTTTAAAGAAGCTTTGGCTGCCTTAACAGAAGTAATGAAAGAACCTGAGATAAAAAACATCAAAAGTAATCGCATGGCAGTAGTGGCATATTTGGAGACCAAAATCGCTGAGGGTCTAGATGAAATAGAAAAAAAATATCCAGGTGTGAAACGTTTCCTTGATATTATCGTAAACAAGGTGACTGAACTCAAGCCACCTGAAGGTATCTGATCTGATTAGTCAGAGATCATCAAAGTCCTTAAAAACATAGAACACAGGGAAAATCACAGTGGTGAAAGGGTGTACATTTTTTTTATTTTTAACAGAAAGAATCTTAAACAATACACTGTTTTTTAAATGCAGAACACATGCAAATACTTTATTCATGGTTTGTAGACAGTTGATACATGGAACATTATTCAACATTATTGTTTGTTGAGTGAATAATTGACAGTGTGACACTAACAAAAGAATGATCACTTGTAAAAAAAAAAAAAAAAAAAAAAAAGAAAAGTTCTTTGATTGCCCTGAAATTATATTGTTTATAGATAATTTTAGCTCTGTGTTACAGTTATCCTGAAGAACTATTGACATCTTCATGTATTTGCTTTTATATGTGGTGTTGGTTGTATCACTGATTACATTTTTTATTGTCTGAATTAAAAATCCAGGGTCAATTTTAATTCTCTGTGCATCCCTGGTATTTTATGTTAAATCATACAAATACATTAAAGTTTGTCTAATCAATCAGTATGATTCCCATTATTGTGCAACGCATTTACACTTCATGACATCAAATTATATTTAAGTTCACTGAACTGTATTTAACAGGCAATAATTACCGTTATTTATTTTGAGCTGTAACGTCACAATTTAGTCATCAGCAGTGAAACTGAGCAACAACCAGACTGCATCAACACAAACACAAACTGAGTCACTGACTTCTAACTTGAGCTTTCTTCCTGTATTATCTTCTTCTGGCAAAGTCGAGACAAATAGACCAAGTGTCCAAAGGTTACAAGAACCATGTAGATGGGACCTTCTGAAAATGATTGATAGTGTCCCCTGAGCGGTCACCAAACACACGCCCGACACTTGCTCTCTCCTTTCACTGCCTGAACCCACCATGTTGTCATCCCCAGAGTCAGAGTCCTGGTCGGAGCTGCTGGACATCAGCTGGCGTCCTTCCAGCTCCCAGTCCGGGTGCAGGCAGCCAATAGGGCCGCTGACTAGCTAATAGCAGCTAGTACAGTTAGTATATGCAGCAGTGCAGTGGTAAGAGACTTCCTGTTATAAGAGGAAAGGTCCATGTTGCAACAATCCGCTGAAACTTCAGTCGCAGCTCCTGAACGCAGGTAAGTCAACTATTAGGGGGCAGCCCTACTTAATTCACCCTTCACCCACCAGTGTAGTGTTTCTTAGTTTTTGTTTGTCCATATTTTATTTGTGAGGTCTACTAGTTAATTTAATATTTGGAAAATCCATACAGGGTAATAGCATTACATAACTTGAGTGTCACTTCCTTAAATGTGGATTTTAATTCCATTTTTTAAAAATCAGTTTTACTTGTGTAGTGCCAGCACTAGTTATCAAGAGGATTAAAGTGTTAGCAAAAATTAAAAAAGGGCAAGACACAAGTTGTTGTGTAGTGGAAGCTTCAAATGATGACCAACGAGGATGTAGCTCAAATTGAATATTTTACTGATCAATTGTCACAACCTCTGACACTATACAGGTGGTCCCAAATGCACAACTCAGCCACAGACCAAGTTGGAAAAAATATATATTTATTTTCTCAACAAAAGTCGCTCTCTACGAGGATTTCAAAAATACAAACAAAAAGTCTAACGTCGATAGGTACAGGGAAAAAACATGGACTCTGAATTACAAGGCTTGACAATACTCACTGACGAGGAACAAGACGAACTGACAAAGACAAAAGGGAGACAAGGACTATTTATACCTAGTGAGAGTGGAAACAGGTGAAAGCAATCAGCGGTGGGGCAGACAATTACAAAGGCGGGAAAACACACAAAGGGAGGAAGTCAGGGTTGATCAGTGAGGGAAAAGGTGACTACAAAATAAAACAGGAAGGACTAACATGAAAACACTTAACACATTTGACAAGACACAACATCGATATGCTGCAGTGTTACAGAGGAAATGGACATACAAAATGGGATTTTTCATCTTTCGTCTGGCATTCATGTCAACACTAAAGCTAACACTCAACATGGTCCATAGTAATAGTAAATAAATGACCATTAACACGTAAATATATTTTACTCACATATTTGCGTGTAGATAGTGTAAATAGTATGTTTTTACTAACTACTACTAACTATTTAACCCAAACAATACTCCCGCCCAATGAACAGTTGCTCATTATTAAAGGATATATCAACTGAACACGTTTCTTCAACTTTCATCATTAAAGAGTCCATCTTTTTTTCGAATTGAATTGAATTGAATCTCTGGAAACAGTTCTGCTATCTATCTGATAAGAATCTCACACTTGTGAGCTGATTTCAAGTCTGTCTGGTGGTCCTTTTGCCAGCTGTTTCAAAAGCTGGTTAAGAGTCTCTGCCCATGTCCTCTCTGCTCAAGTTGATTGCCTGAGGTGGTGGAAACAGTCACCCAGTAAACGTCTGCTGCAGTAAGCTCCTCAGAAGTTAGCTCTCCTTGAATCTTTTCACCCATGCTGTTAATCCCAGCACTGTTTTTCACCTTTTGTACTGTTCTAGGTCTAATAGGGCTCAGCTTGTTCAGTACTGGAAAACTGTACTAAAGCCATAAACTTAGACCTAAGCTCTGTGTTCACCTCTTATGTATTACAGTGTGTAATACAGTGCTCTCTGCTTCATCAGTTGATGACAGATAACTAGCTTTGGATGAGGTTCTCGATGCTCTGGCCTCTGGTGGGTAAATCAGCAGGGTTGTTTTTGCCACCTCTGCACACCACTGAGCCCATTTTTCAGTCAAGTCTGGGGGTAACTGCTCATCCCAATCGTTTTTTCCACAGTTCTTGAAACAGGCACTTTAGTCTTATGATAA